GATAAAAATGGAAGGTTAGATATTGGTCAATAATTCATTGGGTCATCCGGATCCAGAGAAGGCTTCTTAAGTGAAGGTTTGATTACAGCAACCTTAAAATCCTGTGGTACATATCCATTTACTAATCTAAGTTTATGATCAATGATAAGAAAATAATATCATAAAACACAAGAAATAGGAAGAAGATGAAACCCCACAGGATTATTTGATATATCACAATTATACCAATTGTGTTTGTTTGTTTTACCATGGGGAAGGTGGCATTTATGTATGTATGTGTGTGTGTGTGTGTGTGTGTGTGTGTGTGTGGGTGGAGGAGTGTTGTGAAGGGTTTTTATTGTCAGACTGTTTTTAAAATTCTGGGGATGGGAGGGAATGTGGGTATGTGGGGCCTTTTTAATTTGTTAAGCACTTTGAGTTGCATGTATTAAGGATTAAGTGCTATATAAATAAAGTTGATTGATTAATTGATTGATTGATTGATATAATATGTGAACATTATTTAGAAGACATGTGAGTTTCTAAGTATTTTTATGTGTTGTTAAAACTAGATTTTTAATTTCCACAAAATGAAGAAAACCAATTTTACATTTACTTCAGTTAGGACAAAAACTAGAGAAAGATGCATTTCTCTGTGTTGTCCTTTAGACGGCAGTGTTGTAACTGACTGTTTTCCTGCTTGTTTGATGAAAGTGAACACTCCCATGTTTTATTGCTTTTGACTTCAGTTGTGAGTTGAAAAGTGGAGAATAGAACTACTAGAATCAATATTTAACCATTTCTCATTTCTTCCTGTAATTTCTAGCAGAGAGAACAATGAAAATGGACTAAATTGAATCCCTTCAATCAAGTAAATGTTTTGTTCTTATTTTAGAGATCAACAATTCTATTTACCTGTAAAATTTGATATTTTCTGGCTTATTTTTCTGTTGGGAATATGTAAATCAATGTATCTTATAGATTTTTAATAGTTGTAAATTATGTGTAAGTTTATACATCATACTGGCTTTTTTATTTTCTATTGAAAACATCAATTATCTGAAACGTTAAGAACTACACTACTGTTACGTGCTAACAACTGCATTTAAAGGAAATAAAACATTTGAAAAATAAATATACTATACGATTTTCTTCTTTGCTTGACATAATTTATTTGTTTACTCATGAAATTGTGAGTTATCTAATTTTAAATTCTTCAGATTTTGCATAAAAAACAAGCATGAATGAATAATTCTCCATATTGGCTTTGTGACATTAAGATGACATCATGCCAGGCTAGCATCTGTCAGCTTAGCACCTCAGTGCAAAAACATATTAATAATTTGGAAATAATACTAATAATATTACTCGTTTAAATTAGAGTAACATAAACCAAATTATCATTTCATCCAATGAAAACTTGACTCTTAATTCAGACCTTCTGGAGGAAATGGACCATAAAAGGCTCAGAGAGCTGTCCTACGGTGATATAAAGTGGTGATGTCACTCTCCATGCTGAACTGACTCTCCTTCCTGACAGAAAATCCGCAGCCAGGAAACGTGACCGAAAATACAACCAGTGTTTTAAGTAGATCAGAATGCTTAGCATTTGTGTAGAAATAAAGATTTCTATATATGTTTTTCAATTAACTGAAAGTTTATCACTAAAATAAACAATGATTCAAAGCCATGTAACAAAAAATTGCAATACATTTAAATCAAACCATTTGAACTGAGGAACAGAACTGCTCCAACGCAACTTGAACCAAAACTAAAGAAAAACAAAAAGTCACATTTTGCATTATGAGCACATTGTGTTGACCTGATCAGATTTTCTATTAAAATATCTTTAAAGGAGCAAAATGTAAGAAATCTACTGTGAAATAATTACAAAGAAGTTGCCAAGTCTGCGTCGAGTAATGCAGCAGAACTGGCATTTGTAATTTGACACTGGCAGCCATAAAGCTCCCAAGTTTTTTAAAGAAAGAAAGCCAGTGAACAGGAGCGACCTAGAAGTTATTTCTCATTTTACTCTAATTTCAGGTGAAGAAGGCTAGAGGCTAACGTTGAGCTAACAATGCTAACAATAAATTAGAAGCAAATAATCAGCTCTAAAAATATCTCAACCTACTGTTTCAATTACCAACAACTTGACATTACAGTGAAATGTGTGTGTGAATAATGAGTCAATCGGAGTTTTTTACTTCCTTGTATGAGTAGTTCAGAACTATAACAGTAAGCTACCAGCAAGACGTCAAACAACCACACTTCCTCCAATACCAGAGAAACCTTATCGTAAAAGTGTAGTAAAGGCTCCCTACCGTAAAACACCTAAGTGTGTTGTTTTTATTTGCCTATCCTCACCCCTTACTGTTTTTGTATGATTGAGTTTATTTATTGTTTTTACTGTTTAATGATTTTACGATGTTAGTTTTGTTTCGTTCTTATCACGTCTTTTATGATATTTTCAGCATCATGGTCTTCTGATAAGGTTGAGGAAGGTGCTTTATAAATAAAGTTTAATCAAAGAGTGCTAACACCAGATACAACAATGTATTTTTTACTTATCAAATTATTGTGTATGACTCGTCTTTGTAACAGGCAACAGCCATGAAACTCACAAAACGGCAGTGAGACAGTAAGTTTTTGCTTAAACAATGGACTGCAGTACCCAAATCTGACCACAGGATGTCAGTCTTACTTCATTCTTACGTGTTGCACCTTTAACTCTTATACCACTGTTCGTGTGTGTGTGTGTGTGTGTGTGTGTGTGTGTGTGTGTGTGTGTGTGTGTGTGTGTGTGTGTGTGTGTGAAATGGATTTGATCTTTTAAATGCATCAACCAAACGTTACTGGCTGGTCTCTGTCCCTTTTACATGAGCCATTTGTCTCTCAGCTTTTTCTCTTGTGTATTTGACCGGCTTCTTTGCTCTTTTCTGCCAGAAAGTTAATAATCAAGAAGGAAAGACTTGCAGAAATGTTTTGGGATATCTCGTTGTGTCAGCTCATTGCTTTTTGTTATGGATTTGTTCCAATTTAGTCAAACAGAATATTAGCAAACTCCTACTGTACTTGCAAGACTCGACTAAAATATATTGCAAAAGCTACAGACAGAAGTTAAGGTAATTGGAATGAAATAAAAGCCAGCTGCTGAATCAAATAAAGAGCACTATCGTGGCAAATGAGCAAAAGGTCATCCTGATAAGTTGTAAACACACAACTAACTCTGAAACAGATGCAGAAAGATAAGAAGTAAGCATTAAATGCGAGACATGGCCTCAGCGAGGTGAGTAAGCATTCTGATACATTTAGCTGCCTGCATACTAACTATAAAATGTGGATACATTTTATATATTTGAAAGATAATGTCTCTTTTTGAGAGCATCAGTGGCATCTAAAACATGTGCTCCAGCGTAAGGCCAGTAGTTTCCCCCTTCAGTAACGTGTCTGGAACAGATGGGGTCTGCAGATGTCCGCTGTATTTTCAGGGCTATTATGGTTACAAGGAAATAATCTTCACCAAAAAAATAAAAAATAAATAAAAAAAATCCTTCACTGACTTTCTGGTAAGGATGTTGCAAAAACAACCCCACTTATATTTTATTGTTTTTCAAGGTGACAAGAAAAGCCTGCAGCCAAGCATCAAACCTCTGCTCGGCCAACTGTTTCCTCGACAGAGACCTATTATTTAGATATAAATGCTTCTCTCAGTTCAGCCTGCAGCAAGAGAGTACGGTCTGACAGGCTGTCTGTGGACATGGAGGAGCAGCAGAGTTGTCGTTTTCCATCATTAGTTCAAAAGAATTTTAAATTTTGACAAGCACATCTCACTTCTGCCCTGTTGCTCTTTTTAACATCTCATGTTGGTGGACGGCTCGGGGAGTCTGACACTTTCAAAGAGGACTGTCAGATATGTGTCACTGACGACAGGCAAAAAGAGAGTCTGGATCAAACCGAGCCACAGGATTAGAAGAAAATCAACTGGATCATAAACGTTTATCTTTAGTGCAAAGAGAAGCTCTAAATCATTGTAATTGTAGATTTTAAAGACCAATGCTGTGGGCTAGAAAGGGCAGAAGAATGAAGTGTGATGACTCAGATGGAAATTTGTTTTAATTCCACAATAAAACTACTGAGGAAACTGGATTTTAAACAAATTAAAATGTCTTTCCTCTCTAGACATTGTGTATTTGAGACTCTGTCAGTTACACACTGAGGCCCTGTCCACACGTAGCCGGGGATCTGCTGTAGATATTTTTCTACGTTTTGGCCTGTCATCCACACGAAAACAGAGTTTTTTCACACGAAAACGGATCTTTTTAAAAACTCCGGCCAAAGTGAAGATCTGCGTTTTCTCCGTGTTGGGCGTCTGCGTGTGGACAGACAAAACCGGAGTTTTAAGGTCCGCAACGTCACTTTCTGCGACAAAAAATGCTGACATCACGTGTGCGACCTGTGTTTACACTAGCCGACAGCATGGACGCCCTCAGAGCTGCGCTCGCTTTATCAATTGTCCAAGCGCTTTTTGCTTGTTTGTTTTTGCAAGCGGAATTACTGCTCCTTGCGGAAGACCACAGATGAAGGACGAGGTTAAGAACGGGGGAAGTACTGCCGCCTACAGGTCTGGCATGTCCTTAACAACGTATTTATCCGGGTACGTGTGGACAGAGTTTGTTTTGTAAACAAGGTGGTGTGGATGCAAGTTTTTGGAGGGGCGGATATTCGTTTAAAAAAAAAACCCGGCTACGTGTGGACTAGACCTGAGACTCGACTCCAGAGTGATGGAACAATTAGAATAAACAACCAGAGATAAAAAATCAGATGGTTGTTTCACAAGAGTATGAACACATTTTCTATGATGTTTTTCTCATGAATAAACTTTGCCTTTCTGCATTTTACCAGATTTAATAAGGCGACAAAATCACCAAATAAATCAGTTCGGTTAAAGGCTTGAAACACTCATGTGGGACTTCTTCTTTAATTTTTTACATATGGTGTAATATGTATTATGCATATTTTACCTGACAGTATGAAGAAGATGCCAGAAACAAAGGCAAGGATGGTGCGCTGAGGCCGGATGTGACCAACGTTACTAATGACGAAAGCGGTAAAGACGAAGAGCAGGGAGACCATTGGGAAAGGAGTCGCCGTTCGCACCATTTCTGAAAAATGAAGGAAAGGAAAGCTCTAAATGTGTAACAAGTATAAGTGAGAAATACGTTAAAACAAACGTCACAAAAAGAAAAGAAATTAATTTATTAGTAAAATTTGATTAAGGTGAGCCGGAAGGCAAAGCTCTTGATTTACTGGTCGATCTACGTTCCAACCCTCATCTCTGGTCAGCTTTGGGTAGTGACCGAAAGAAGAAGATCGTGGATATAAGCGGCTGAAATGAATTTTCTCTGTAAAGTGGCTGGTTTCTTCCTTAGAGATAGGGTGAGAAGCTTGGTGCTCGGAACAGATCTGCTGCTCCTCCACACTGAGAGGACCCAAATGATTTGGGTCAGGCTTCTTGTTAGGACTACTGGATGCTTCCCTGGTGAGGGACCAGGACACGCTGGAGAGACTATGTCTCCTGGCTGGCCAGGCAATGCCTTAGATTTCCCCTGAAGGGGCTGGTTCGAGTGGCTGGGGAGAAGGAAGTCTGGGCCTCCCTACTTAGGCTGCTGCCACTTCAACCCGACCCCAGATAAGCGGCCAAAAATGGATGCATGAATAGAATTTTGATGATCATTGTCAAGAGGGTTATTTGGATGATGGTGGCAGATGAGAAAATGGTAAAATAAATGGCAAATGGCTTGTATTTGATATAGCGCCTTCTAGAGTCCTGGAACCCCTCAAGGCGCTTTACAACACAATCAGTCATTCACCCATTCACACACACATTCACACACTGGTGGGGATGAGCTACGATGTAGCCACAGCTGCCCTGGGGCACACTGACAGAGGCGAGGCTGCCGAGCACAAGCGCCACCGGTCCCTCCGACCACCACCAGCGGGCAACGTGGGTTAAGTGTCTTGCCCAAGGACACAACGACAGCGACAGACTGAGCGGGGCTCGAACCTGCAACCTTCCGATTATTATTAGAAGTTGGAGGGTTGTGCTCAATCATTCTACTAATGCAACATGAAGACTTCCAAACCTTTTTTCCAGCTTTCAATAACGATTTAAAAGGCTTCTGTGTGACTTTCGCATGTTTAATAAAATCACTGAAACCAAGCAGAACATTCACACCAGTTGTGCTGCGGTGGGGATCAGGACATGGAGCTCCATAAAGTTTCAACATGGAGTACATTTTTTTCTGGACGCCACACGCAGATCATCATGAAGTTTAAGAAATTACATAAGCCACGCATTAAATACATTTGCAAGAGCTCATTCACATTATCAGTTTTTTTTTCCCAAAATAGAATCAATAAAAAAGAAAAGTATATAAAATCATACCCACATAAACTCTTATTCTCACAGGATTCTGCTTTGATATTTTTACACATACAGCTCACTTAGAGCTTGGAAGCAATATGATGCATTCAAAAGCCCTTTCCTCTGAACTCCAGCACCTATGAAAACATTTATTCAGTGTTTAACAGATTACACATTGTCCTTTGTGGTGTTTCAAAAGTGGAGTGTTTTACATCTAAAAGGCAGAACAAACTGCTGAGGGGAGAGCACATTGGAAATGTCAACAGTTTGAATTATTAAAGCAGCTCTGAGACAAAAGAACTCCTCAGGGAACTTTCCTAAGAACTCTGAATTCATTAATCTATTTATTGAATGAAAAAATCTGTTCCATTTACACAAAGTTCTTTAAAAATGAATGAGGTTCCACAAGCTTTCGTTAGGAAATGAGGGTTGTTTGATTTGATGGATTGCTTTTTTATGTGGGCACAAAAGCTGGGGGAACTTAGGTTAGTTCTGAGACGAAGGTTTCTGTTGGAAAGTTAACAAGGTGAAACTACGAGGAAATCAATGACACTTGTATCAATATAACCTTTTCAAGAGGAAATTTTGTTTTATTTTGTTTTTCAAACATCAAAAGAAAATAAATCAACAAAAATGAGATCAAGCTTTTGATGAATTTATTTTGGGCTTTCAACAGCATTGTTGTGGCTATTTGTCAATAACACTTAAATAAATAATCAAATACTTTCAAATGGCCACTGGGCTATGTCAAAAGTTAGGCTTTATGCACGGGTAAAAAAGATTTCAAATCAAACAATGTCCATGCCAAAATTGCATTTGGTGGTGGTTTATTCACACAAGAAGCAAGAGCACAGACTTTTAGTGTCCTCCCTGTCTCTGTGGTAAAAAACCATGTCCCCTCGCAGCCCTGGCTGCTCCACCCACCTTGACCTATTTATTCAAACAATCACCCACACCTGACCAATAAACAGTAAACTAATTAGCCAACATAATAAATAAAAAGCATAATGCAAAACAAACAAATTAACTTTAGCATAAAATAAAGAAAATAAACTAGACTATACTTTAAGCCTATAATAAACCAAATAGCTTCAACAAGCATGTTAAAGGCATGGAAGAACAAAATGTGTGAGACTTCCCTGTAATAATAAATACCCTGAAGGCATTTCAGAACACCTAAAGTTTTACTGTAGTAAGTTTTGAGGCAAGCTTAAAGGTGATGACATGGTTTTTATTCATAATTTTCTGGTGGCGATGTTATTTTAGATCTACAATTCAATACATGTAGGAATTTAGAAAATGTCCAGTTAACTTAAACATCTAAAGGGGTTAATCTGAATGCTTCTCTGTTTTGCTGAATGTAAGTTTCCAACTTTCCCAAGGTCAGCACCTTGGACAGCGCCTGCAACTGCCTCTCCTTTCCAGCGCTGTTCAAACCTCCACTTTCAGCACCACGGAGAGAGGCACGCTGCTATGCAGCACCAGCTGAGGGGGATTTGCAATTGTTATAATAACGTTTTTAATTTTTTGTTAAGGCCTTGGTTCCTTGGTTCATTCATTTTCTTTTTATTTCTTGAGTTACTCCCTCCTCGACCTCCCAGACTGAAGGGGCATAACAATGAATATGACAATTCAATCTAATTTAATGGATCCAATATGGAGTAAACATACTTACTGAGTATGTTGGCTGTGTTTTCTGTTGTGATCTCCACCTCTGGCTCTATGAAATACTCTGATGCAACACATCTTCCCTTCTCAGGTCCTGAAGAGAGCAAATATATATATATATATATATATATATATATATATATATATATATATATGAGTGTGACAAGAAGAATAATGAAACATGAGTCATAAACCAGATGTGACAGGTTGAATGAGCCTTACAGGGGCTTGTTTTTTCATCACAGAAAGGGAAAAGTATTATCATGTGATGATAAATCCAGAATAAATAAAGGAGGGAAAAAAAGAAAAAAGGTTAAAAAGACACAAAGAAGGCAGACAGAGCAGAAAAACAGCAGCAGTGGAGAAACGCTAGGAGGTCAAGGTGTAAAATAATTCAGATACTCCAAATGAGATTACTTCAAAAAAGTGAAAAACAACTACAGTGACTGGAAATGTTAAGCAAAGAAAAGAAACAAACAGATGGAGTTCAGGAGGTTCAGGGGAAAAAAGGATGTGATCTGAAAGATGGAGGAGCTGAATACAAACACAGTGATTAATCTCAAGCTGTGGTCACACGGAGATGAGAAACACACAAAACCAGACATCCACAGAGAAATATGCCAACAAAGTTATGCATCGTTCAGACAAACGTGATGTGGCTCCTTTTATTTCTCACCATGCATCAACAAACAACTGGCCATTCAAAATGCCACCAGCGTTTTCCTTCTCTGACCTTCTGTACCAAGCATCAAACAGGGAAACAAACATGGCTGCCTCCCTGGAGCAACACCATCGTGACTGAAAACACAGCAGCAGTTATACTGGAAAAGGGGGCAGTCATTAGTGTCCGTCCTGCTGCTGAATTTTCACCCAGATTATCTAACCGTGTGTGATCTTAGTATTTTTTATCATCCAGCTTTAGATGGGATGCCATTTCTGCCTCTAAAATTTGCAAAGGTAAGGTAATGTGTCATCCTGAAGCCCTTTCAGGCTGTCGGTCCAATTCTAGCAGCTAATGGCTTAAAGCTACAGCAGATCTGAGAGGTTGGACTCAGCCTGTGGAAATAATCACAGCTAAATGTGTTTTCACAGGAACAATGTCATGAGTGGATGCTGAGATAACTGACCAAGGCTAAATCCAGGATCTCATTGGGCCGATGCTTTGGACATGACCGAGATATTTTAAAATAATTGCAAGGGATCTAAATTTCCTGATGTTAGTTGATTTTGACATTCTCAGGTTTTTTTTCCTGCTGACTGTTTTTGTTCACATCTAATTATGAAAAGCATTATGTAAGATACACATCCAGGTCTTTCCCAGGCCACTTGACATCTGTAATTGGAATCTGTACATAAGCGGATATCTAACGCTACTGGTTGATGCTGAGAGGCACTCAGCCCAAAATGTATGGGGCTCGATGGAAAGGGGGACAGGCTTAGCAAAAAACAAAAATGGCACATTTCCTACGTTATATCAGACTGACTGATTAGTTTGTTGATAGCCTCGAGCAACCTACTAGCTTCATTATCACTTGTAAGTTGCTTTGGACTAAAGCGTCTGCGAAATACATAAACTCCTGATTGCTGCATGAACCCTTTATAGGGTCATAAATGATTACAGTGTTCCTTGCTGTGGTCTTTGAGAGTCACACATTTCCACCCAAACAATCATCGAAGATCAAGCTAGTCACAATTTACACTATGGAACAGTTCGACCAATCAGGGTTGTGTATCTGCGGAACCAGAAAACTGCCTTCCTGCAGCTCGGGCTCTTCCCGTGTTAAGTTAGATCTCTGAAACCAACAAAAGTAAGTTTGTAAAACAAATTGATTCTAGTTGATGGGTTGACTAGTTGTGCTAAAAAAAAGAAATTAGTGTTGTGTAAATTTGTGTAATTATATCATTAAAATAAACGTCATATTTGATCTCCAGAACAAGTACAAAAATAAAAAAAAACAAGGAAGTAACATCACCATCAGTTATGGTGATGAAAAGGAGGAAGTTAAGAAATGTGAGGTTGACCCTCAAATATATAACACTCTAAAATATTCTAATTTTCTATTTTTGATCTAATATTGTATTTATTGTTTTCTAACATTAAAATATTCAGTTTTATAGACAATTCTATATTGTATAACTGTGATATTTTCTGTATTGTTCTACAGTCATTTTCTAAAATGTTCTATAATATTCTAAAGTGTATTAAAATGAACTATATTAACATGAATCATTGTTTATTTTATTTGTTGTGTTCTGATTAGATTGAACTGAACTTTAGACATCACATGATCACAAGGTCTTTAGACTGAATCCTGTGCATGAGTGATAATATGAAAATGGTTTTTACTGAACATTTTTTGTATTTCCATTTGTAAAAAAGCATGAAGAACAAAATCATTTGCCCCTGCTAAGTCTGTGGCTTCTACTGAGCGTGCAGATTTCAGTAAAAAAACTTACAGTTGTGGTAAAAATTCTAACTTTAGAGAAGGGACTGCCACACAAAAAGCATAATGTTGCATCATAGTGTAATTTTTACTTTAACAAAAAAATAAATAAATAAAAATGGTACAAAAACTTTGAATTTGATCTCGACCTGCCACAAAACAAACTCTCCAGAGACCCGAGTGCAGCGCCATCTTGACCTCTGTGGTCTGGTTCTGCTGCAGGACGATTCCTTCCTCCATCAGCAGCCAGTAATCCGTTGACACGGCAACACCAACCAATAACAGACCGCAGGCTCCAAATACTGACGAAAGCAGCGTCAGGGCTCGTGTACTGAATGAACTCATCTGAGGAGAACAGCAGAAAAAAATCATAATGATTTTTTTTTTAAAGTTTTCAAGAGTCACAAACTGATGCATTTTCTTTTTAGTAACCCCTTGTCCTGCGTAAGATCATGAAGGAGTTGGTGTCTATCTCCAGCCATCAGCAGAAGACAGGCAGGGACATCACAGGGCCACATGTGAACATTCATTGGTCTATGCGAGTAAACCAGAATACACATAAAGAACCGTTATATGCGTGGAGATAGTACGCAAATTGTGCAAAAGGCTGCAAGGAAGTGTTGAACTTGTAATCTTGCTCGTTGGCAACAGTATTGCTAACTGCTTCATCATGCAGCTCTATAAATAAATGCAGTTTTCATGTCAAATATATATTTGACAACAGATTAATAACAAAGCATTAATTTGACCATTAAAAATTGATCAATCAATTGCAAACTATTCTTTTACACAGACACTGGTGAGTAATTAACAGTTTTTATGACAAGAAAAGAGGTGGTTTCTGATTAGAGATGCCTAATATTATGGGCTCGACACACAGGAGGCGACAAACGACCGCGATCAGCGAAACTTGTCGCCGTCGCGTTTATTACCTGACACACGGGAGGCGACCCGCGGCAGTGGCCAGCGGCAAAGCCGTCTACGCGTTCTGTTCCATGGCGAAATCGAATCTTCCATTGTTTTGCTTTGCTGTGTCACGTTGGAGGGAATTAAGGTTATTTAAGCGGTTCAGAGTTAATAAAGCGGTAGATATGATGTTTCACAAGGTGCTGCTAGAGTTATGTGAAATCTTACTTCTGATTTTACTATAAAACATAATAATAATCAACTTCTCCTCCATGTTTGCTCGGAGATGTACGGAGCATCCTGTCCGCTCATTGGTCAGTGAATGAAACCTCCGTTTATTGGTCCTCGTCCGAGCGACAGCGATGAAAAGTTGAAAATATTTCAACTTTCTGGGATCGCGTCGCTGGGTCGCCTGTGCACGACACGTGCACGAGCGCAAAATTTCACACGCACGTTTTTCGCATTTCGCTTGGTAGGAGGGAGACCCGCGATTATCGCTTTGTCGCGCATGTCTCATTGAAAATGAATGGAGGAGAGGCGATGTCGCCTCCCGTATGTCGAGCCCATTGTAGCGTGAGGAAGTATGGGTTTTTCTGTGCCAAAGGTTGTATTTGCCCGGCTGGGTCGAAGCTGGGTCACCAGCAACTTTCACCCACAGATAAAGACCTGAGCCGCCAGCAAGTCTACACGATTCCACAACAACCGAACATCTGGTCTCCAGAAGGAGTTCTCACACAATCTAGCCATAATAAAGAGATCAGATGATATTGGCATTAAAATGTAATATCGGAAATATCTGTATCGATGTTGCAGCCGCCATCTTAGAGTATTTTATTTGACAAGTGATGTGCATAATAAGCATGTAATAAGCAACAACCCAATGAATGAAAACAAAAACAATCATCTGATTTACAAAAATCAGATGGTTGCATGATGGCGCAGCGGTTAGCACTGTTGCCTCGCAGCACGAAGGTTGCAGGTTCGAAACTCGGCTCGGCTGCGGCCTTTCTGTGTGGAGTTGCGTGTTCTCCCCATGCATGCGTGGGTTTCCTCCGGGTACTCCAGTTTCCCCCACAGATCACAACATGCCCTATAGGTTCTAAATTGTAAGTCGCTTTGGATAAAAGCATCTGCTAAATGAATAAACGTAAACATAAACAAAACCTCAAAAATCCCTTTGAACCTTAAAGATCCTTGATAATTTCATGGCATTTAAATGTTTTGTTTAATTTGTTAAATTAAGGAAAAAGTAAAAAAAATTAAAAAGTTGTGACACATATCTTGACTGAGACGCCTTATAAAATAAAAACACAAAGCATATCAGGAAGAACAAGGGCCGAACTGAAACTGAGATGACAACAGAGACAAAATAGAAGAAATTACTGATAAATCTTAGGAATTCAATTCAATTCAAAGACACTTTATTAATCCCAGAGGGAAATTAGAGAACTACTTAATACACTAAACAAAACAAAATTCTGAGGATGAGATGAATAGTTCAGGGATTTTTCTGTTTTTTACAGTTAAGCTTCCACTCTTCATGAAAACAATTCCATGTAGACTCTCACAAATCTGTAAATGACAAAACTAACTGGTCTGAAAGTTGCTGCAGTGGTGTAACGAGTTTGTCTAAAAACAGCAGCAGGTGAGGACGCTTGGTCAGGCTTCCAGGCCACACGCAGTGTGGTTAGCTTCTCACTAGGTGGCAGAAAAGCTGCCTCTGTAATGCATCACTTCAGCTCTTAACACTTTAAAATGTGTTCTTGTTAGCGTGAACACATAAACACACACCGCTCCCCAGCCATGTAGCCAAAATCTGCTGAATCAGCAGTTAGGATGCACAACCTAAACATAGACCTGGAAAATGATCTTCTCTGCTGAAACAGAAACCGATTAAGAGGCAGAAACATGACTAGGTTTCATTTGCTCTTATGTGTACTCAGTTTTCAGTATTAAATATTATTATTATTATTATTATTATTATTATTATTACATGCATGGAAATAATGTGCAAATTATGAAACAGGCTGCAAGGAAGTGTTGAACTTGTATTATTGTAACTTGTAAATAATTAATAATAATAATAATAATAATAATAATAATAATAATAACAATAATAATACAATTAAAGGGCTGCACAGAGGTGCAGTGGATGTCGCTGTTTCCTTGCAGCAAGAAGGTCCTGGGTTAAAATCCTGGCCTGGGGTCTCTCTGCAGGGACTTTGCATGTTCTCCTTGTGCACGAGTGGGTTCTCTCCAGGTTCTCCGGCTTCCTCCCACATTCTAAAAACATGACTGTCAGATAGTTTGGTCTCTTTAATTGGACTTAGACGTGAGTGTGCCCTGAGACAGTTTCCCCAGAGATTGCTGGAGATAGGCACCAGCCCCCCATGACCCTGCATGGGCAAGTGGGTATAGAAAATAAATGGATGGATAATCATTCAAAGTTAGAAATGTTTGTTGATTATTTAAAAACACTGTGCTGATTATGCTGCCTATGTAAAAGCCCTGCAAGGAACAAGAGAACAAATGGATCTAAACTGTGCAGCACATCAGTTGCAGTCTCTTTATTGGAACTACATTAAACAGTTTTGTTCCCATTTAAATTAAATTTCATCCATTCAATAACACGTCCCTCATAAAAAGATGAAAAGTCTCCCTACTGTTTTTGCTACCGCATGTTGAGTGGCAGGCCCTTGCAGCTTTCACTGCAACCCACTGAACAAGCCATTACAATAAAACATGATTGAATCATGTTGATTCGGTTCAGTGGAACATGCCATGGTGTTTTTATGTTTTCATGTGCCGCCTATAAATGAGATTTATGTTGCATGAACACTTTGAATTATTAAAGCTTTTCTTGTTGCGGTAAACAAAACTGTATGGCATCGAGACATGGTTGTTATTCAAGCACATTTAAGGATATTTAGGGTATCTTTTGCAGGAAATCTTCATGCAACTTTAGAGTTTCACTGTAAAATATCCATCATTTTTATTTAAAATGATGTAAAATTGTGTGGAGAAAATAAAACTATTATTATTTATCTGGAATAGCGAGCCACCACATATTTGTTATGTTTGTGTTGGTTAACCTTGAAGTGAAAATATGCCTTTTTGAATGAAATATAAGTCCGACAGCCATCCATGAGCATCCTGACAGAGTATAACAGTGCATGCATTAATGTAGGAGTCCATGTAAAAATCTAAAACCTTGCAGCCTGTGAGTAGGTGAAGGATTGTGTTTGTGAGAGCAACTTGCTATATTTTGCAGATAAAACTTCTAAAGTAAAACTGGGAACATCCACAAACTTCACTGCAGATAGTCTGACCTTACATTTTTGTAAAAATTGGTAAAAAAAATAAATAAATAAATAAACTGTTGCTTTTTTCTTGTATTGTATTTTTCTTGTCTCTGCACAACCAAACAAAACCTTCTGGAAGGCTGAGACAGTTTCACCTTAACAAGTAAGGAGCAGGAAATCATCTAAAACACGCTGTATAGTGACACTTGAGGACCAGGGTAGCCTGCCCTGACTCTACAAACGTGAGAAACAAAATAAACTTTTCTAGAAATGCAACTGGGAGGCTGCACGACATCACTTAAGGCTCAACGTTAGAGTGATTTTGAGACATGCATGTCTCAAAAGTCATGCCCCACCCAAAGCGAGGCTAAAATAGGAGCATGATTCAAACAAAAGCAAGCCAGCTGATAACCCAAGGATCAGAAGTGGTTGCTCAGTCCTGGCATTTAGCTTTCACGTTCAAGCTAAAATATTAAATTCTAGGTTAATGTGAAGTGACAAGAATGCAGAGCCAGCACATTAAACCCTAAAGACGCAGCCCCAAATCCCAACGCCTCTTGTTCTCTTAGTGCACTCACAGTAATAACCATTTTAACTCTGGGGGTGTTGGTCTGGTTTGTTGGTGGGTAACATGTAACATGTAACATAAAACAAGCCGCAAAAGAACCCAAACATAATTCTAGACAAGAACATAATCTTGACCAAAAGAACCACGCAGTTTCTTTCTTAGTTTTTCATTCAATTAATATTTCCAGAAGAATAATCTTAGAAATGTAGCAGATGTGTTGCCTGAGGAGGGAATCTGTTTATTCCAGTAGTTCTGGGTTTACTGAAACTGACTTCCAAGCAGCAGGAGATTAAATTGGATCTAATGGAAAAGTTGTCAAAGAACTCCTCCGACTATATTTTTTCACAAAGATTTCCTACAAGGTTGGGAGTGAGACCACCTCCTATACACTCAGTTATTCTCTTCACATGACTCAAAGTCTACTTCTTTATCACACTGTCACCATACAAGATGTGAAACAGCTTGATATTATGTTATCAGTGGTCCAACCGGGTTGAATTTCAAATAAAGGATTAAAAGTTAGTGACTGTATCTTCGGTAAAAGTTTCTCTCTCTGGGCCTTGCAACAA